TGTACACTTGTGTACTACACTGTATATATGAATACATAGGAGATATTGTGGTGGTAAGAAAACTGAAATCTGATGACATTAAGAAAAACATGGAAACAATGAAAACAAACACTTTTATTGTATAGTGTGCAGGACCATCAATGGAACCAACATTGTATACGAATGATGTATTACTGACAGAACGAATATCTGTTCGGACAGAGAACATCAAGAAAGGTGACATTGTTGTCTCTAAATGTCCTTCAGACCCTAAACAACATATATGTAAAAGAGTTGTAGGATTGCCTGGAGACAAACTGGAAAATGGAATTATAGTATGTAACATTGGGATGAATTGTTGTAGCCTGTAGAAGCTAAAGTTTGAAGTCGAAAATATTAAGCAATAGATCTTGTACATTGTCTCAATATTATGGAGACTAACTCATGCAGTTACTACAGTGTCTAACAGCACTACTTATTAGGTACCAAATGGCCACGTGTGGTTGGAAGGTGATAATACCTTCAACTCGAATGATTCTCGCGAGTATGGGGTTGTTCCACAAGGTCTGTTACGAGGACGTGCATTCTGTAAAATATTACCACTTAGAAATATCACCTATTTTGCGAGAGAGGACGCGAAACATGATTAATCCTGTTAACAAATTACAAACCAGAAATAGTACAGAGGATAATAATCGGTAGGATAAATATGTAATTTGTATACCGTTTTTTCTTTTATTTCTCTATTTCTATGACGTGTTTGCAGGTTAAATAAACTATTTTAATAATGTTTACAGCTTTGTTATTGTGACTTGTGTCCATGTCATTATTCATAATATGTAATATATCGTTAAAAAGCGTCACGTGCAATTTCTTTTAGGCAATTACGAAGTACACTTTGTTTTTGATTTGAATTCATAAGAATCTCGATGCAAATAACGTGTATTCGTACGCATGAAAAGTGTCAACAACAACAAATTTCATCCCTACCCAAGGTACAAAAATATTCGTGTACAGTTGCCAACGATTCTCGTTGGTCGAACGGTGTCGTGTGATTTTATTTACAAATCAAGCCCTCCCAAATGCGTTCGAACCACTTTTATATAAGGTACGTTTTACCATTGCGAATTTAGTTTAGAAGCAACAATTCACCGACAGACAGTTCCCTATGCTTGATGTGTCAAATTTATGCTGTATACTTAAAAAGAACAGTGCAAGTGGAAACATCGAAAGAAAATAAATAAACTAAGTTCTTTTAGTGTCTGTTCAGTGATAACAATAAATATTATTTGTATTATTAGAAACGTTCATTTCACTGGTTTCGTATACTATCTTTCGTTCTCTATCACCGAAAGGAATGACAAGAAGTATAAACATTCGAAATTATCGGAAATATCTTTCTTTGACGAGGTAAGTAAAATTTCTTTGATAATCGGTTTACTCATAATCTATTTCCTATCGTATTTCGTCAGCCCACACTCCATTTGCATTATTTTATTTCTTATTGCGTTAGTGTATGTATATATACGTGTGTTTACGCGCATGCTTTTTATACTGAACTCGTACGTATTATGTACGTATAAGAATTAGATCGAACGTTAGGTTAACATTTAAAATTAATAGTTGTTGCAATAGAATGATTCACGCTATTTCGCGGAAAATGATTTGTTGCTGAACCAAGGCTAAAAGAATCCTGTTCGATCTGTTCAACAGCTGATTTTAACAATTCTGTCGAGGCCAACGTTCTTCGGTGTGTATACGAAATTTATTTGACTGATTTGAAGTCAAATATTTATAATCGACTGTCAAGCATCATGAGCAACAACCACTAATGTAAAAGTTAATATTACAAGACGATTATTGTTAATTTCCCTCGTTAGTAAATGCACTTGTTTTTTTAAAGCTTTCAAAATATTATGACAGATACTTCAGCATATTCACTTCTCGTTTCTGTCGTACGAGCCTCTATTTTCACAAATTTTGTATCTTAGTAATTGAACAGTGACTAATTTGAATAATAGTAATATATAGTATTTTTTCTTTTCTTTATATTACAGACAATTGGCTCGTAACACAGAAGATAGAAACAATGGTGGAAGCATTTATAAGTACAAGTTCTTCGATCGTGTAAATACATTTTGGAAAACCAAGATGTCCATGCAGAATTATTCGAAGTTTTTGGCACAGCTGAAAGACTACATTAATAAAGCTGGTTACGATAAATCTCTTCAGATTTATTTTTCCAAAGATTGGTTGGAAACCTTACAGAAAGCAACGTATGCACAAATTAATACTTTAAAAAAGCAATTACCCATTATAAATGTGAAGAATGCAAATCATGATGAGATAAAAAACACAAACAAATATAAAGAGAATGAAACTGAAAACCAAAAAATTTTAATAAGACCCGAAAAAGAAGTTGTGGATTCTGTTAAAAGACAGAAAGCATATCAGGTAATTAAAAGAAAGAAAGAAAAGAAAATCTTGCAACTTGTAATTTTGAACTTCTTTCTTTCTATTTGCAGCAAATAGACGAAGATATCGTAAACGAACGAAAAGTAGAAGTCAAGGAACAGTCTTATAACCTACCACAAATTTTGGATAATTTGATGTTTAAGTTAACCAGTCAAACTAGGACCGGTGCTCTGGTAATAGCACCAAAGTGGAAAATAAATGTCCATAAAAATGTATCAAAGCACAGCATTGTGTCTAGAACACGCCATGTTTTAAACAGTATTGTAACTGCTGAATCAAATGCTTCAAGATTGAGGAGAATCGAAGATCTATTAACTCACATTGATCAGTATCCAGAAGCTAGACATTATGCGATCAAAGAAGGAGCAATTGGAATATTACTCAAAACTCAACGTCGAACTAAAGACGAACAAATAAAAGGTAGAAAATACTTCACGAATATCCGCTCCTTAATTCAGAAATTCTGATCTGATCTGCATCTGTTGTTTTACAGCATCGATTAGAGAGGGGCTAGCAGTGTTAGGCCATGTTGATCCATTGCCTGGTCGTGGAATTAGAATTCTTTCCATTGATGGGGGTGGTATGCGTGGTGTCTTGGTCATAGAAATGTTGAAAAAACTTGAAGAGTTAACAGGAAAGAAAACGCATGAATTGTTTGATTACATATGCGGCGTGAGTACAGGAGCAATTCTTGCTGCTGTTTTAGGTATGCAAACAATATATAATATTACTCTTCAAGTAACGATAAATATTATTTATAGCACTAATATATTCAATAATTTAGGTGGCTATAAAAGAAAATCATTGAGTGAAATTTCAGAGTTGTACAGAGAACTAAGTATAAAAATATTCACTCAAAGCACGATAAAAGGTACAAGTAATTTGGTATGGAGTCATGCATACTATGATACAGCACTGTGGGAAAAATTATTGCAAGATCATTTAGGGGATAAGATTCTGATTAAAACTGTTCGCGATCCGAATACACCAAAGGTACCTATAAAAGAAAACGAACAAATTAAAAATTTCTGTTCTAATTCGAATTGTTATCCAGTTCTCAGCCATATCTGCAATCGTGAATCATGAACGTGTGATGGCTTATGTGTTTCGAAATTACACTTTACCACACAGAGTAGAAAGTCAATATATGGGATCTCATAAGCATAAATTATGGGAAGCTATAAGAGCATCTGCAGCAGCTCCCAGTTACTTTGAAGAATTTAAACATGGTGAATTTCTTCATCAGGATGGAGGTACGGTTTCTCGTATTTATTCAACAAAAGTAGTAGAATATTATAAAATAATTGGTTTTCTGAATCCTAAAGGTATACTGGTAAATAATCCATGTGCGGTTGCTTTACACGAAGCCAAACAATTGTGGCCAAATAATCCGATCCAATGCGTGATCTCGTTTGGAACTGGAAGAACGCCGAATCGAATGTGTGAAAACAGCAATGAATCTATGGAAATCGCAATTTCGAGCTGGAAAGAGAAATTTTATAAAATTTTAGACAGTGCGACCGATACGGAAGGTATAATAGGCTTTATAATAATACTAAAAGTTTCTGTCTCGGAGTTTCACATATATATATGAAATATTTATTCCTATAACGATATTTTTCTGTACCAATAGCTGTACATACGATGCTAAATGATCTCCTTCCCGAGCACGTTTATTATCGTTTTAATCCGTATTTAACGGAAATGTTGTCGATGGTGGAGATACGCCCAGAGAAGCTTACCCAGTTGGAACAAGATGCGAAAATGTATATACGTAGAAACGAGGAGAAATTTCAGAAAGCGGCACAAGTTCTCTTAGAGAAAAGACAAATCCAGCAGCAAATTATGGACTGGATTGTGTTGCAAAAACAAATTTCAGGTTTATAAATTCTGATGTATTTGGAAAATTTATGGAAATCAAGTACAAATTCTAATTAGAGTCTAGTTAGACTCGTTCATTTTATGAGTAATCTTAAGAATAATTCATACAGTTGTGATCCTTTGAGTAATATCCAATGGGAATAGAATTTATTGAATATATTGTTTATGTTTTATTTGTTATATGTTTTAATAGGTCAATTGATATTTATTTCTATCTGTGATTCTGACTGATCATGTACAAACACGTTATATGTATATTTATGTACACAAACATACACACGGAAAACAAAGAAGTGTATTTGTACATACTGAAGTTATTTACATAAGGCCAGTATTAATGTATGTATGGTGAAAATACATATGTAATTTTAACTTGTAACAAAACAAAGCGCCTGTATTTATTTCATAATACATATATGTATAAGGAATATGCGAAACCAAATTAGTTTAGTAAAATTATTTAAATTTTACAAAATTGTTAAGATACAATTAAATTTGTAGTTTATAAACAAACATCACTATGTTAAAAGTTTATTTTTCGTTTTATATATGTACAAACGTTGAAATAAAATGTTATCCATTTATTTGTGTAAACTCCCTTATTTTATTCAAAATATTGGAAAGATATGAGATAATTTAAAATATTCTAATTTCTTATTTACGTACAATGTACCATCCCGAAAAGAGTTTAGTTGGCGCTGCTGTCAATGTTGCTTCTCTTTTTCTCTGTGAGTCCGTCTTCGTACAAGTGTCGTAAGTGCACGCAGTTTCATCGATTTATATCTATGTAATCTGTTTAATGTTTATTGTAATGTAACTGAAAAATTAGTAATAATTATATTCTGTGAAAGTATTTCCTATTCTTTTTCAATAATAATGCAAACATAAAAAGTTTACTTGAGGAAATGTCTAACCTCACATATCACTGTTGACAATATATTTGTGTATACTTAAATCATTTTTTTTAGATCCTACAATAGGAAAACATGGCAAAATCCAAAAATCACACTAATCACAATCAGAGTGAGTACAACAGAAAAATATGTATATTATTAATACTGTATTACATATTAAACACAATTGCATATTTTGCTGCTTTATAGATCGTAAAGCTCATCGGAATGGCATTAAAAAACCAAAACGATATAGGCACGAATCTACGCTTGGCGTAAGTAAATTATTCATTTTGTTTAAATATATAGCGTCTTATGGAATTATAAAATCTCTTTTATGTACACTGTGATTTTATGTCCGCATCGTTTATTATCATATTTATATAAAATATGCTAGTTTGTGGAGTAGCAATAGAAATTCTTGTATACATATTGTCAATTAAATTTTTCAGATGGACTTGAAATTCCTGAGAAATCAACGATTTGCAAAGAAGCATAACTTGAAACCAAAAGAGCAAATAAAGAGGGCAGAGGAACGTAAAGCGCTTCGTGAATCTAAGAAATAGGTTCCTGTTTCAATGAGTTTATCGGAATAAAAACTTTATAAAAGTCTTTTCTTCATTTTTAATGTATTCCTGTAATTGTCAGTACCATTAATGAAACATAATTTCATGCATTGTCGCTTAAAGCGTACAAGTTGCGTACTACTTATATATATACTCCACAACTTAGACACGTTTATAAAATTGTACAATTATAATCGTATTAGAGCAAAAAGTATTAAAAATACTATTAAAACAGAAATAGTTTTTTTATAAAAAAAAGGTGGAATATTAATTTAATTAAAGGCGGCCGTATACGTTATAGTATACTGTATATAAGGTATACTGTGCCTTAATAATGTCTTCAAGTCATTTTTTAATGTATTACACAACTAATTTTATGCAATCGGGAAAAAAAGTAGGAGAACACATAATCGCTTTAATCTTTACGATTTTAATAATTTATTCTACTAGTATATATAACATGAATTGAAAATGGCGGCCGAAAATGTTATAGACAACTCTTGTCCAATAGATGTTAAAAGTTCTTCAAATCCACGAATCATTTTATTATTTAGTGGTAAAAGGAAGTCCGGGAAAGATTTTATTACGAATGTTTTGCATGAAAGGTAAAAAATTTGTAGTTTTACTAGACGTAATAGACAAAATTATATCTTAAATCTGTATGTCATATACTCTTCCAGGATCGGACCTGATAGTGTCATCCTTAGGTTATCGGGACCAATTAAAGCTCATTGGGCAAAATCTATGAATCTTGACATCGATGGACTTTTAGGAGATGGAGAATATAAAGAAAAATATCGAATTGAAATGGCCAAATGGGGAGAAAACGTTAGAAATCGAGATTATGGCTATTTTTGTCGTGCAGCTCTAGATATGTATAATGGTAAAGAATTTTGACTTGTTGTTGTCTGTGAAAATCTTTTCTTCTAAAATATCATAATAACGTCGATGGTATGGTATATGTACTGTTTCTATAGTACACGACAAATCAATATGGATAGTGAGTGATGTAAGAAGAAAAACTGACATTCAATGGTTCATGCAAAATTTTGGAAGTGCATGTAAAACAGTTCGTATCTTATCGGATGATACCACAAGAAAAAAACGTGGCTGGATTTTTGTCCCAGGTGAACAAATATTTCTATTTCTAATTTTTAAATTCTAACGATGTATGTATATTTTATATAGGTGTTGATGATTCGGAAACTGAATGCAATTTGGATGACGTGAATACATGGGATTTGGAAGTGACAAATAATAATGACAATTTAGAGTTTGTTTTGCAGCAGATATTCAGATTAATAAGCTAGCCAATTGAGCAAGAATCTATCTTGCACATATATGTATATTGTTTAGCCATAAATTTAAAGAACACAAATTGTTTCCACAATGTTAGAAATGAAACAAAAAATATAGAACCAAAGAGCAGAAAAATTTTGGTATTATTTTCATTTAAGAAATAACGTATATTTTTTAAAGGTGGATTTTTACCATACAACATTTCGAATTTGCCATATTTCGTCCTACAGCGGTATGTACGGTAGAAGCCTCAAACTACTAAACCAAACTATTAATTACCAACAGTTGATAATAAATAGAATGTTATAGATTTAATTATTGCAATGTAAGATGTAGGATCGATATACGGAAATATTACAAATTGTTGAAGATCAAGAATGTCAAATTTGAACTATTGGTTCACGCGTTATTTAATTTCTAAAAATTGTCCCCCTCCCCTCCTCCCATACTTAACTAAAAAGTAAAGGTGGATAACCTGTTTTAAAATTGTTTATTTAATTAATTTATTTAATGGATATATATTATTGTTCTGTACGTTCTGCGTTCTCATCTACTGTAAAAATTCTTGAGAGTACTTCACCACATCTACCCTCCACTTTGATGCTTGCAAGATCGTCTGCCCTTGTCTGACCAATATTTAATATAGCTATAGGTATTCCAATATTATTGGCTTGTAACGCTATTCTATAAGCAGAATATGTAGTCATTGTAGAGCCTAAGATTAATAATAAATCAGAATGTTTGACATTATATTGTACACTCTCTACCACCCAACGTGGTACGTTGTCTCCAAAAAATACAATGTCAGGTTTCAGAATGCCGCCACAATTCGTGCAGTTGGGAACAATAAATTTTTCTACTTGTTCCTATGAAAGTATAGAGTTAGTTAAGTTGATAGGGTGCTTTTAGATAAGTACATACACATATATTAGTTACCTGCGACAAATCCACATCTCCATCAGGCCTTATCATTTGAGCAGTTACAGTAAAATTTGGATTGAGACTATCTAAAATGTCTTGTAAATAATATCTACAGATTTTGTGATCACAATCGAGACACATTACTCTGAATGCTGTTCCATGCAATTCTATCACTCTTCTACTGCCTGCTTTCACATGCAGATTATCAACATTTTGAGTAACAATGCATCTAACTTTTTGCGTATCTTCTAATTTCTTTAATAATTTATGAGCATCGTTGGGTTTGAGAGAGGAGAATCTAAAGGAACATATCATATAAATGTAAGTACATTTGCCTTTACTTTTGTGTAGAAGAACTTTAACCTTGGCCAACCGATATAATTCCTAGCCCAGTAGCGTTTTCTAACAGTGTTGCTTGCACAAAAATCTTTATAAAGTACAGGTCTGCGATTGCTTCTCGCATACAAACCAACATTCTCAGACCTATAATCAGGAATGCCACTTTCCGTAGAAATTCCTGCTCCGGTTAATATGCATATATTATTGTGTACATTAATTATTTCTTTCAATCTCATTATATCAGAATCCTTGGCTGGTTTACACTTTGGCACAAATGTAAAGTCCAAGTATGATCTAACTGAAACATTGGCAATGGTTCATTCATATTTAATAGAATAGCTTAAAATGCAAGACTTAATAAACTCACATAAATTTGTTGATCCTGCAACAATATATGCAACTTTATGAATCCCTCTATGAACGTTCATCGCAATACGAATATTGATATTTATTAAAGAACTATTGTTTATACACGCAAAATAGCGTTTAACGTCAGTGAGTATTATGTTCTCGTTATCATACTTTGGATTCATGACAACGATATTCTATAACAAATTCTGACGTAAAGTTCCTAAACAATCTACGTGAATACATCATTTTCTAATTTACTAGAATGTGTTCTTATAAAACGCGTTCAAAATCTGAAATCATCCCGGAAAATTAAATTCATGAGATCGTAAGCTTCCATTAATTGATGATTTAAACATTATTCAATATTTGTTACATAAAATTACATGCAAGTATAACCTACAAACTACATGTATATATACGTATGTGTGTTATACGGTTGTATAATACGTATGTATAATACGGTTATTAAAAGATTGTTCTAGATTCTAGATTATGAACAGAAAGGACGGAGTCTAGTTGCGGGGGTTGTTACAAAATATCGACATAGATTTTCCTGAACAATTCCGTATCCTTGATTTAGTTTCTAATGTCCTAATTTTGCCAAAATTAATGTTTTCAGCCGTCCCTACATTGCGTATATGTGGCACCTCTTGTGGGGAAAAAAGGAACCTTCTTTCGATGTCCGTACAGCGCCAATTAGTCCAGTAGCAAAACGCTCAAACCGTTCGCCGAATTACCAACCGTCGAATTCGGCGAATAGTTTGAGCGTTTTGCCACTGGACTAATTGGCGCTGTATGGACATCGAAAGCAGCTTCATTGTTTTTCCGCTAGAGGCGCCACATATGTACAATGTAGGGTCGCCTAAAAACATTAATGTAGGCAAAATTAAGGCATAAAAAATTATACCAAAGGCATATAATTATTCAGAAGAATTTATTACATCTATATTGTGTATAAAGAGAAGTGTCAACATTATTTGTTCTTTCAATGAAGGGAGAATAGCGGCACTGTTTCCACCTGTTTCGCATATGACTCATACCCAGCACCCATGTATACATGTTCCTATGCTCCCAATGCTCTATTCTTTAGGTCCATGCACACGATCTAGAATCTAGATTCTAGATTGAACAAAGATCAGTAGATTCGAATGAAATGAACTAAATATAAAGCAATCGTTTCCTCAGTAAATGGTAACAGTTAGCGATTTTGTTTAACCATTGTGGTTTTTTAGTTACTCTCTAAATGAACTTTTTATTCAACCTGAAAAAGTCCCTAGATTTTGTATTCAGCTTGAACGTCGTCTACGAGGGGTACTGCTACATATACCCGAATCAGTTGAAGCCATTTGTGAAAGGTAACGTGTCGGGACCTTTTTAATATTGAGAAGTGTAATTGTAATTGGACGAAATGGCTGCAATTTGTCTATTAAACCCAAAAGCTGAATTCGCGAGAGCTGCTCAGGCATTAGCGGTGAACATTTCCGCTGCGAAAGGAATCCAAGATGTAATGAAGACGAATCTTGGTCCGAAAGGCACCATGAAAATGTATGTATTTATTCTCACGTGTAAACCTTAGGATCATATATCTACTTGAATTTGCTGGTTTAAATACACGAACAAACGAAAACGTACCAAACTATGAAATAACATCCTATATTAAACATACAGATGCAAAAAAAGCGTCTATCTCACTTTTATTATCCTTATTAGGAGAAGTTTATGATTCACGAAGCACCGGTTCCGGCGCAGCCTAAAAATGACAATTTTCAATTTTTTTCTACCATCAATTTCATTGTCTCAAATGTGTTTCTGGAAATGTAGTAAATGTCAAAATTTACATTTTTCTAAAATTTTCACTTATCGAATGTACGTATATGTAATTTAAACTGTTTTTCTCAAGGTTGGTGTCTGGAGCAGGTGACATTAAAATCACAAAGGATGGCAATGTCTTATTGCATGAAATGCAGATACAACATCCAACAGCATTGCTTATTGCCAGAGCATCTACTGCACAAGAGGATATGACAGGAGACGGTACAACCAGTACTGTGTTACTTATCGGGGAGCTGCTCAAACAAGCTGATATTTATATATGCGAGGGTCTTCATCCTAGAATGCTCACAGAAGGTTTCAATCTTGCTAAAGCAAAAACTTTGGAAGTATTAGACTCCTTGAAGATTAATATCGAGCCTACAAAGGAAAGCTTGATGGACATTGCAAGAACTTCTCTTAGGACTAAAGTTCATCCTCTTATCGCTGACAAGCTGACAGAGATTTGCGTGGATGCTGTGTTGGCTATTAGGCAAAAAGATCAAGATATTGATTTGCATATGGTAGAACTGATGGAGATGAAGCATAGAACTGCGGCAGACACTAATTTAATTCGTGGTATTGTAACGGATCATGGAGCCAGGCATCCGGACATGCCTAAGAGATTAGAAAATGCATATATATTAACATGTAATGTCAGCTTAGAATATGAGAAGAGCGAGGTAAGTGTTTAAAAATAAATCGATATCTATATTAATTGATAATTTACCATAAAATTACGTGTATTAGGTAAACAGCGGTTTCTTCTATAAGACTGCAGAAGAACGTGAAAAGCTTGTAGCAGCAGAACGTGAGTTTATAGATAATCGTGTGAAGAAAATCATTGAATTGAAAAAGAAGTTGTGCGACGGAACGGACAAATCGTTCGTTGTAATAAATCAGAAGGGAATTGACCCACCGTCTTTGGACATGCTCGCTAAAGAAAATATTATCGCTCTGCGCAGAGCAAAGCGTCGAAATATGGAACGTTTGTCTTTGGCTTGCGGCGGAACAGCCATGAATTCCTTCGATGATTTACGGGAAGAGCACTTAGGATGGGCCGGACTTGTATACGAACATGTATTGGTAAATAATCTAATATTTAAATAATTATTTCGTACGCGATATATAATACAAGTACTATTTCATTTTAGGGAGAAGATAAATACACCTTCATAGAAGAATGTAAGAAACCAAATTCTGTGACAATATTACTGAAGGTAATGCTATCAAAATAATATTTTCGAATCCAATAAATTATAATTTCTAAAATTATTATGGAAACTTTCAGGGACCAAACAAGTACACTTTGGAGCAATTAAAGGATGCTGTCAGGAATGGTTTGAGGGCTATCAAGAATGCTATTGATGATGGCGCTCTTATTCCTGGGGCCGGAGCTTTCGAAGTTGCTGCCAGTCAGGAGCTTCAACAGTACAAAGAGAAAGTTAAAGGAAAACAGCGTTTAGGCGTGCAAGCTTACGCAGAAGCACTACTTATCATTCCGAAAATTCTTGGTAATATTTTAGATACGTTATTCATGATATTGCAATTACTAGTTAAATTAACGAATAATTTCTACATCTGATACGTGCAGCAATAAATAGCGGATTCGATGCGCAAGATACGATCGTAAAATTGTTAGAGGAAAGAAATTCATTGGGTGAAGCGGTGGGTTTGGATGTTTCAACGGGCGAAGCTTTAAAACCTACCGATGCTGGAATTTACGATAATTACAACGTAAAGAAACAAATTATTAACTCATGGTAAATAGATTTCATTAAATAATACTTATTATGTATCCCACATTGTTCGTGCTCTTTAACAATAATAATCATGTACTTTCAGCACAATCATCGCCAGTAATCTGCTTTTGATCGATGAGATAATGAGAGCAGGGTTGTCATCTTTGAAGGGCTAAATTACCGTTAAGTAATCGTTTATCTCAAAAATCATTTTTGGATACTAACATCCAAGAATGATTTTTAGGATAAACAATTGCTTCTAAAAATTACTTCGTTTAATTTAATCACCTCGTTTGCACGAAGCCTATCGTAACTTTCGCATAACTCTTACATTTTGATATGCTTTCGAAGGATACAAATGAATTGCTCCGAATAACAAATAAAATGTTATTTTCCAATTAAAGAGCAGAGAAATCGTGGGTATTTATTTCTTGTTAATCGTTACAAGCTTCCTGCTAATAACTACAAATTCGATTCTCAAATGTAAGAAACATTCACCTCGAACTTTGTACAACACTTGAAATAAAAAAAATTCAAATAATTATTTGTATAAACATTAATTTTTCCCCGTAATATCTTAACGCGCGAGGGACTGCCACAAAGAAGTGCAGTCAGAGAAATGATGACCAGTTTTATTATAAAAATCAAAAATATTTATGTGAAATTTTATGTTACACCGTATTTACAAATTTTTACAAATTAGCGTAGAGCCTATCGTCACTTACACGACGCTCTTCAGTCTTGTATATTTTCTGTTCATTATTTCGCATACTCGATGCTGCAGAATCGAAGACGAAAATTATATTGTAAAAAATAAATTTCATACGCACATTACGAGCATCTTACGACACGTTATCACACACGACGTAAATGTTAACACGCAAAACTTTATGTTTATAAATAGTAGTCTATGGAATACTCCGCAGTTACATACTTAAGTAATATTTCTATTTTTGTCAATTATCATCAATTAAAATGCCTGTAAATATTCTTAAAGTTATGATTTGCGTAAGATTATATTACAAACGTTTCGCAACATAATATAAATATTGTACTTTACATGTTAGCATTTACATCGCAGATGTGACATAGTTGTTTTAAAAAATTTTCTGCTTCGCGAGAATTGATCTTTATCAGATTTGATACGACAAGGATTGTTCTTATAAAACGAAGTATCCTGCCCTGTCGGTATTCAACAGTGTTTGCTTTGTAAGTACATGATAAAATGTAATTCCATTACATGTTATTACTGGTAAAATAAGATAAGTCTATGTATAAAATAAATAAATTTAATATTTGCTCCTTCGGTTTACCTAAACTAACAGTTCTCACTTTTCAAATTCTGATGTTTCTAAATACAATTATGAAGTTTTAACGATTGCTCACCAGAATATAATACAATGTACTTTTCATTTCATTACTTCTCCTTTTTCAAAAATGATCATTGTTTTCTGTGTTTGTGAAATACCTACTACATAGTTAATTTTTGATTGGTTTATGTAATGAAAATATTCGTTCACATGAATTGAAGAAAGAAAAATTCAAATCTTCAATTAAATCGATAAATGCATACTACGCCTACGCATATCTTTTTCCGTTAAAACACGGCACAGTTGGTTGAATTTTATAAAAATTCATGTAGTTTTACAAACAAATGTATAATACCATACGCGAGCTTTGGTTATCGTTGATCGATATGCTAATAACTGTCAGGAAACAAATATTTAGCTATCCTACATTAACTGAAATCATAATTGAAACTTAAATATGTTTTCATACTACCGATGTCCAAAGGAATTACTGTTACTTTCTCTATATACATATGAATTATTTTATCTTTTTAACAGTTGCCGCATCTGTCACATGTTTAAGATCTTTCAATATTATTTTCGGATCAATGTTTATCAGCTGCGAAAGAGTGGTACAGTTCACCTTCATTCGATGACCGCCGACTACCATGTATGTGTTCAATTCTGACAGATTGATAGGACTTCTGGGAATGCCGTAATACGAAAATTGCTTACTTTTCGACGACTGTTGCCTGTCGCCAATCTTAGGAGGTGAAAGGTATTTGGAATAGGGATTGGTACTTTTTCTAGCCACTGCTTTTACTTTGTAAGGGATCAGGTTTGGCCGAATTGTTGACCTAGCTGTGGATTTCTTCGCCACCGCATGATTCTTCGGTTTCCGCAGAATCTGCTGCTCTTGGTCAGTGTCGAAGTCCTCGACGGTAGACTTTTGCCACTTGATCTTATTCATCATTTTTTCCAGTAACGACTCATAATTCTGTATGCTCTCTATTTTCAGGTCCATGCCGGAGTGCTCTTCGGCGCTGTGCGTGGACACTTGGGTTGGCGAACTGTAGGTTTTGTCGCAATATTTACACTTGAATAAACTTATATGTCTTGTCACGTGGTTTTTCATCACACTAATGGAAGTAGTTGCGAACGCGCATTCAGGGCACGCATACCCTCTGGGTCCTTTAGCCTTCTGTTGTTTCTTGAAATTTAGCGGCAGGTGAGAGTGAAACATCTCATGATGAGTCTTCATTTTCACTTCCGAGTCGCAGAGTTCATTGCACCACTGGCAAATCCAGCCTTCTTGCGTCGACTCAAGTGCGTCCATCTGCGTATCGTTGCACGATTGTTGCAGATACAGTCCATAAGAGGACTTCGTCTCTGTTTTCGAACATTCGGGTTTTGCAGGCCATTCCTCCAAGTCTTCGTCCAACTCTATCTCTTCGTATCTGAACGGATAAATTAATTGGGCTGACGGTTTGTCTGATATTATTAATTTGCGCACTACGCTCTGCTGATTCTCTTTCGAGTCGGAAACCTGTTCTTCCTCCATCTCGTCGCTGCAATCGTCCACAAGAATTTTCTTGTCCAAATTCGTGCTTCCAGATTCGCTGGACGATTCAAACGCAGCTGAGTCGCTTGATTTAATCGGCTGATGGATCACTGCGTGGTTCCAAAGCTCGGTTTTGTTTGCAGCAACGAAAGGACAATAGGTGCACTTCAACGTCTGTTTCGACGCGACGTGCACTCTCATGTGTCCTTTGAGACCAGCGAGATTGGCAGCGACGAAGCCACATATGTTGCATTTCTCTTGGGTCTCGGGTTGGTCCTGATTATCATTTTCCACGTTGTTGTCTTCGCTCAGCTTCCTCTTGCGTTTCTTGGTTCGTTTCGGAAAAACTAAACCGTACTCTTTCTGCCAGAATTCGTCTGTTAACTCCGGCCCACCAGCATCCGGATTTTGAACAATCTTTTCCTGACAACCAGGATGTTTCGAACGTATATGCTGGCGCATCAAGCTTTCTGAATTGGTGCTGCGATCGCAATACGGACACAAAAACCCTAATCTTTTCAAATGAGTCAATTGCACGTGCAATTTGAAACCGCGCCAACGCGTGAACGTTGTTTTGCAATGTTTACAGACCAATGGTTTCTCCCGATCCTCCTCGGTTCCGCCTACAATATTATCTTTACTTGTTTCAGCGTCTGCAGTACTCATTTCAGATTTGTCGCTTTTTGCTGGGCTTTCGTCCATAATAAGGCCTTCTGTATCCTTAGTACCATCCTGTGTTGTACGTACATCGGGATTGAGCTCCTGAATTTTACCGTCCTGTGTATTGGACTTATTTGAGATGTTTGCAGCTTTCACAAGACTTTTAGCAGAGGTGGGTTTGGCGGCAGTGTTAACGACGGATGCTTTAGAATTATTTCCAGTATCCGAGCTGCTTGCATTTTGTTTTGCTAAAAATGCTTTTATCGTAGCAGTTTGCCTTGCCAGTAGCGTAATAACCTATGTGATTGGTAATATAGTAAATATAGAGACTTAAATACTTAAATTTTATAAAGCTAAAACAATTCGATGAAAATTTACCCAATCTTCGATGTCGTTGTCCGGCGACAATGGCTCGTGATGAGAACGTTCTCCATTGTGATGTTTTGTGAAATGCTTGAACAAAGCGTTACGGTTCACCGATAAATATCCACATTCTCTGCAATGCCACCTGCAATAGAAACGTTTTGGTATCAATAAGAGGACATAGATCGATTGAATTGAATCAAATTGAATCACAAAGACGTATCGATCACTTACCTTGCATAATTCAATTCCCTATAAAGATGATCTCTCATATCGTGTTTATATTTTGTTTTAAATTGTGTACACAGGGTACAAACGTACATATTACCGTCAGATTTACCGTAAGAACCGAATCTACCAGTGTCTGACTCGTTCGAGTCATTGTCTTCGACCGTTTTGACTTTTGTGTCTTTGACCTTGTCCACCGCATTGGGCGTTTCAGGCGTAGTTTCTTGTTCAAGAGGTGCCTTGTCGCAAGGCAATAATCTCTTCGATTTTTCTTTCGCAGACTTGATGTCGTCCACAACACCTAATTTCCCTGGTTTCATTTTTACTGGCTTAGTTGGTTGCGGTTCCGTTTCGCTCTTCCTCTTCCCTTGTTTCGTTGAAGACTCTGCGCTTGTTTCGTTCTCCTCCTCCAAAAGAATTCCACGAATATGCCTGATTCTAGGCATATCTCTTCTCCAAAGCGGCGTTGTGTCAAAAGGCTCCTCCTGTCCGCTTTGCTCAACATTCTCGCTGCTCTTCTTGTTCACGCCCTTTATCCTCTGATATATCAGTTCATAGTCCACGTTAGGATCAGTCGAGTGTTTGTTGCTAATATGTTGTTCAAACACGATTTTCCCGCTTGTTTTGAAGGGGCACAAGTTACACTTGTACTGAGACTTTTCGTCGTGGACTGTTGAGGCATGATTCGCCATTTCGGCTTTATACACGCATTTATAATCGCAAATGTTACATTTCCAGTGGTTTCCGTCTGGGTCCGGAACCTCCTCTTCGTTCTCTTCCTGCAGAGTTTGGGTGTTCTCGGTGCTTTCCAGCTCCCTGATCACTTTAACGAAGGGTCGTTTCTCCGGGTGTTTGTCGGATAAGTGTCTTTCCACCACGTGCCTAGTCGACAATTTATCGCTTTTAGACGACATAGAAAATGAACCGACGAGACTGAAGATCTTTTAAACATCTGACAAGCATATTAATGTTTCACACTCCCCTATGGAGACATCCGTAATGCTTTACTTTGAAAATTAAAAAACATTGGTTTTTATGCTTGTCAAATGTTTCAAAGTCATATTGTACTTTTAAAATGATCTCGGTTTCATAAATGTTGGTATACCTATGGTAGTGATGATGGTTACAGTGGGAACATTTATAGAGTCTAGTGTCGTGCATTTTTAAATGGACACCCATCTTATCGATCGCTATATTCAATCCTTCTTGACCAGGTTGGAGTTGAGGACAGTGAGGACATCTAAAATACTGTTCCTCGGAATGCAACGCTTTCAAATGACACCTTAACATTGCTTCGTCGACTGTCAGGTAATTACATTCAGCTACACCGCACACATACCTGTCGCGAGAAGGAGATAGTCGATAAAATGTAACAAAATATAATCCTCTTAGTATTCGTTGTATAGACATTTCTAATGATACTTGCCTCTTATGTTCTGGAACAAATTTCGGAATGAATTCGTCATCGTCGATTTTGCCGGCCTCCTTCGGTTTTCCGCCCATTCGTCCATTTTGATGGGAACTACTAGCTAAATTTACCATTTTGTCGAACATTCGTTCCTTTTTGTCCAAGCAAGGTACAGGATTCACGGGACCACTCTCCGGCACAGTCTCGTCGTTCAAGTGTAACGTCAAGTGTCTGATAATGTTTGTTCTTACTTTAGTTGTAAACGGGCACACAGCACACTGCACTACGCGATTGTATATAGCTTGACGCGGCAATGACTCTATTTCGTCTGGACTGAAGGATAACTTTTCAATGTCAGTGGCCTTGTCATTTTCCTTTTCTGTGGTTTTTGTGCTTTTACGTTTCTTTCCCCTCTTTTCTCCACTTTGACTTTGCTTTAAAATGTATAGAACATAAATATCTAAGTATACATACACAGACTACGATCTATGTTAAAAACTATTAAATATACTTACGATAGCTTGCACAATAAATAAACCATCAACAGATGGGTTCTTCGGGTCGGCTGGTACCAATTTGCTGGCCGGAAATCTGTGCTTAGCTTTCATATGCGCTATTGCTTGGTAGCCAACCGTGCATCGCATTTTGCACAGAGAACAACCGAAACGTTTCAGTCCGTGTACTTTCAAATGCTCCAATAAAAACCCAATTTTCAAAAACCGCTTGCTGCAATGGGCACAGTTCAAGTTTTTATTATCACCGCTTTGTGGACACTCCCTCACGTGAGATCTCAAGGAGGCTGCATTTTCTGCACCGTAATCGCAGAACTCGTAACCGCATTTGTATAATTTTGTTCCTGTGAAACCCGTGTCCTTGATGTCTTCTAACGTCAATGGCTTATCATTTTTATTCGCTGTATTGCTGGAAGCGTTCAGGCTTCCTGTGGACTTGTTAGACTCCTCGTTATCGATAGGCAACTGCTCCTTTGTTTCAGTTTCTTTTGCTTTAGATTTTTTCGGTGTATCAGGGTCTTCCTTTTTACAAAAATCGGACTCATTCTTATCAGTTTTGGAAGAACTGGTATCTGAATCCACAATATCAACGATCTCAATATCACTGTCATCACCTTTATTGTCATCCGCGACCGTAGGTCTGCGAATAGTCAGATTACTGAACCGTTGACTAGTATTTTTCAGAAAATCAGGATTATCCAGTAAATTTATGTTTATAAATTCATCGGTGCAGTTTTCGGGGACAATGTTAAATAATTTAGGCGCGTCCAGCAAGCTAATATCCAAGGGATCGGTTTTGGTGTCGAAAGAATTCTGTGACGTGGTCGCGTCACAGGATTTGTCCGAAGACATTCTTTCATGCGTAGGAGACTCTATGGTCGGCGTGTTACACGAGGCAAATAAAGACGATAACGATTTACTCAACGCTTCGTTCTCGTCTTTGCTCAGCATATTAATGTCATCCAGTGAATCGGAGAAGGACGTGTCAGGGATAGAACACCCGCTGACAGCATTCACTGTAACCGATTCTTTGGTATTTGTTCCATCGTTGTCCACATCGTCATCCAATATTCTCAACGTCAACTGATCTTCTTTCCCTCGAGATGACTGAAAAATATGGCGTAACATGTAACCCATAGAACTTGCACCTACACAACGTTTATTGAAATTTATTTACCTGCAAAGCTGGAATAGTTCTTTCTAAGAATTGTGGTAGTCTATTACAATGGAACGAACTTAAATGTTTATGCATATCGCTCGGTGAGTCTGAGCCGCTTAAACAGTACTGACATTGATACTTGAAAATCCAGTGCACCTTGTAATGCTGCAAAATAATCATAGATTTGGTAAGGAGGTTCCAACCCGACCTTATCATTATTTATAGACAATTAGAATTAATCAAAATGACTTACGGCTATTAGTTGCTCCGTCTGCGAACATGTGACAGAACACAAGTGACACTTAAATTTCTCATTTCTCGACGAATGTTTACTTTTCAAATGTGCCATGAACAATTCGGGAACATAGAACATTTCACCACAATCTAGAAAAATAATTTAGTTAATGATTGCTGTTGCTTATCGAGCATTCGTTCGATTGCAAAAATATGAGAACGTAATTAATCGCACCATGTTCACAGATGTAAGGATGTATACAAGCGAGTCTATTCTCAGTTTCCCTTGTTGGCACCTCGGCCACCTCTTTACCGAGAAGAACACCGTGGAGGCCAGGGTGAGAAGCAGACTGTGAACAAAATAGAAACTTCAGGTAAAAGAAACATCTTAAAAATGATGCACAGAGCAAAGGCTGAACTTGGGTACGGACCTGGTGTAATCGAACGTAAGATATTGTAATGGCTCTGTAAAAACAGTAACTGCACTGGTAACGACAGTGGGCGTGTTTTTCTTCTATGTGTTTCTTCATTTGTGACCAATCTTCCAATGACATGTAACAGTAGGCGCATTTCTGATAATCAAACGGTGGCTTCTGTCCCTCTTCCTCGTACGCGTGCTGTTGGTAATGCTGTTGGAATTTCTCGAGGATATCGGTCGTAAAGTGACAGAATCGTCCCATGCATTTGTACAAGTGAGCCAACTTAGTGGTTTTAAGCATCGCGTTGTAAGCATCCGAAGATTTCAATTTCAGCGCCGGATCTATGGCCTTCAGAAGAGTCGGCGATTGTAGCACCTTCACGATTTTGTAATTCAAGTTCGACGATTGAGATGTTACAGTCACGGTACGTGTAGTCACTGGTGTGACCACTGCGCTTTTATTGACCGAAAGTGGAAACTGCAACTTGCTATCAACCTTCAGAACCGCTGACTTTGGAGCAATCGGAATGTAGTTTCTGGACAATTGTGGGCTGGTCACACCTACTGGATTCAAAGACAGACTCTTTACCGGGATCAACTTCAACGTGTCCGTTCCGACTGTTCGTATAGATTGAATGTTCTTCACCAACGGCTTCGTCACCGTGACAGTGTTCACTTTTTTCAGAATTAATGGTGTACTAGGTTTCGATTTCTTCAGCAGCGAAACGCCTCTGCTGCTCTTTATGGGAGAAATCTCAACCGCTTTTCTAATATCGTTTATCTACAAAAGACCATTCGAATATAAGAACAAAATGAAATGGAACAAGAAATTCGATTTGGCAATCGATCACTCACAGTAGGACTTCCAGCATTGTCATTGTCAATACTCGGTGCGAGACTGACCACATTTTCAATCTTCAAGAACGAACATTCCTCTTCTCCATCCGATTTTAACACGCCCTCCACCTTATTCGTAGATGTAACTTCGTCTATGAAATTAAGCACAGAATGGATAAAACATCAGTAGTTTGCTTTAAGTCGTAGAAAACAAATCATTTCTTGGAGGTTTAGCGAAGTTCTTATACGTACCAGGTTTAGAGGCAGGCTCATCTCGTTGGATACCCAAAGATTGATTCATTGCGGACAACATATCACCACTCAACCGTCTTAGCCTAATGAAGTTTTTCGGTGGATTGACACCATCGTTTGCTTCAGTTATTATTTCATTGAACCGCTCTGATTTACCAACAAATCGTTTAATATTAGCTATGGGTACTACATCCGGTGGCTTTGGAATAGAACTGAAATCAAACTTTTTCTCAGTAGATTCTATAGGTTTGAAACAGTTTTCTTCTTTGCTTGCTTCAAGCGGCTTTGTGGCCTGAAGCTGAGCAGCCAGCCTTTGAATAGTTGTAAGCATCGGATCTCTGGAAGAAGCGTTGATATTGGAGGTTTCCTTTAAAATCATATTTACATCTGTAGACAATTCTGTATCCGACTGCTCACTGCTGGAATCGGATTCGCAAAAAGTAGCTGTATCTCTCGCATTATCAATATCGCTAGCTTCTGCATCGGTTTCGTCGACTTTCTTTAGTCCTAACGATGCCAAAGGATCTTTCATCCTCAAGTTCGTTTGATCCGTTTCGGGCGCGGACTGAGAATCACATTCAATATTCGGTGAACGAGACTTTGAAATAGAACTCTCGGACTGCTTATCTTGTTCCAATGAATCTTGGGACAAAGATAAATTTGTTTCCGGTTCTTCTATAACGGGCGCATTAAAGCCAAGTAAATTTGTGACGCTGCTTTCAGATTCTATCAAACTGGCCGTTGCTACGGAAGTGCTAGCAATTTGATTCGAATCCGAAGTAACATCGGATTCTTTCTCGCTGGTTGTCGTCTCCATATTCGTCTTCATCTTGTCTTTTAATTTGTCTATGATAGAAAGACCTTTCTTGGACGCGTCCTTCTGTAGTTTGATACCAATGTTCTGAATGATCTCCTGCATTTTCCTTTTTCTCTCTAATTGTATCTCGACTTCCTTCTTCTCCAATTCCGGTGGGCAAACGAACACGCTTAGCTTGCCCGTTGGTAAGCTAGCATCCGCATCCGAGCTGGAGGGTTTTTTCGTTTCATTGAACTCTGGTTGATCTTTTGAACGGTCTTCCCCCCCGTCCTCATTTTTAACTTCCTCCGATTCTTTTACCTTTTCAGTTTCGCGCACCGAATCCTCCTTGACAATCTTTACCTCGGTTTCATCGATGTTGGGCGATTCATCCTGTTGGATGGTAGCCACCGGGTTGCACGTCGATTCTTCCTGGCTTTCCGAACTCGGCTGAGGCATCTCTGCCTTCACGTTTTTACTCGTCAGAGCGCCGGAGGCAGGCTCTATCTTTATCGAGCCAAGAGACATATTTATTTTGACAATATTCGTTTCAGAGTTCTCTTTATGCCAGAGTTGAACGTGAAGCTCCAAATTCGACTTCTTCAGCTGAACATAATTACAGCTCGAGCATAAATAACCGTAGACGCGATTCTCATCGGGCACCTCATCCTCGGTGATGGCCTCGTTGAATGTAACCTTGAATTTTCTGCACACCTTGTAATAATGCGTCCTCATCGAGGATTTTGCTACAGCCTGATAGGGACAGCTGTTGCATCTGAATCTGTACTCCCCGGTATGTGTGGTACAATGTTCGTAAAACGCTTCAAGAGCCACCTTTGCGGTGCCCTCCGTGAAGAAGGAGCAAAATCGGCAATGGAATTTGAAGATCTCCTCGGTCAGAGGCTTCGACGGGAGATCCTCTACATCGTTGTCTTTCGCCTCTTGGATCGCCAGCTGAGCATCGGCAAGTTTCAATCTTGAAATAAGAATCTCTTTGCCGGAATGATTTAGCTTGTAATGGTGTACAATGTTTTTGCCGGTGAAGAAACAGAGCAGACACTTGTACCTCTCCTGCCCGGTCCATGCGTAATCGATTAATTCATTTATGTTCAAACCATCGAATGGTTCCTCCGTTTCTGTATTCTTTTTCGTCGTACTCTTCGGCGTCTCGGTGGTGCTCGGCGTATCGTGGACTTCGAGACTGCTATCTTTAACTTGCGGCGACGTCTCGGAGACGGAACCTGCAGAGGAGGACTCTGTTATCTGTGAAGTATCTAGTTCAGAACTCACAGAAAGATCAGACTCTTTCGAAGAGGAAGTTGGGGTCTTCTTTTTCTTCTTCTTCGATAGAATTCCCATCTGCCAATTACACTTTTTTTTCTTCTTCTTCCCCGAGAACTTCTTGACGTTCGGCTCAACGGACAGCTGATCGCTGACGTCGTCGTCGATGTCCGCGTCGCTCTCTTTATCCACCATACTCGAGTCCTTGTCCGAGTTGTTTTTGGACGCATATAATCCTACCAAAATATTACTAAGCAATTCCTCTTTACTGCCAGCAGTGTTCGGTTTCACCGGAGGGGAACTCACTTTCTTACTGGAAGCAATGCTACTCGACATCGACACATCGGAAATAATGCTTTCTCCGTCGGACAACGCGTCGTCCTTGCTCTCGCTAACCGATTCGACCGCGGCGCTCTTCTTCCGCGTGGTCTTCCTCGACGAGCTTTGAACAAATTTCTTTTTCTCGGATGTTTCTCCTTCGATGCTTTTGTCGGGGCGCAGGGAGATGTCGACTGCCGCCGTCAACTCGGACACATCTATGCCGAAACTCTCGTCGGATGAGCTGTCGAACATCACCTTTGAACTCTCCAATTTCGAAATGTCCGTCTTTTCAACGACGACGCGCGGCTCTTTAACGGTGTCCTTATTGTTGATGCGTTTGCTTCTGCGCAAAGTGTCGGGCTCCTCGTCTTGATTAGTCGACGAGCTACAGCCTTGAACACGCTCGGTTCGTAGGGCCAACGGTTGGTCCTCTTCGCTGTCAGAGCTCTGCGCAGGCTGCTTGGATCGCTGTCGGGTCACCCGCTGGGTCTCCTTTTTAAATTTACCTTTCACTTTGTCTTTGAGGCTGTCTTTGGGGCTCTCCTTGGCGATATCTTCACTGGTACGGGATTTAGCAGTCTTCTTCGACTTACAGGAAGCTATCGAGGACCCTTCGCTGTCCGAAACTACCTCTTTCACCGAATCGTCTTTCTTGGCAGCCGGTGCAACTTGAACAGAAGCAGCTCCGGCGACCTGGTTCTCCTTTTGCGCTCGGCACATTCTATGTCCCGTAGCAGCGATAACATCGTCGCTAATGAACATCTCTCTAATATCTTCCTGCAGCATCTCCAAGGAGTTCCTCCGCTTCGCTTTAGTTTTGGGCGTTTTGCTGCCGGTACTTCCCTCGTTTGATTCTTCATTCAGTGATTCATTCGCCACTTTGCTCGGTATTTCGTTCGGTACTTCGCTCGATACTTCGCTCGATATTTCGCTCGGTTCTACATTCGAGTTTTCGCTCAGTTTTTCATTCGTCTTTTCCGTCTTCGGCTCCTCTTTTGTCTCAGTTTTCAATTTTAGTTTTTCCACATCTGAAATCTCTTGCTCTACTTTGGTCGACTTATCTTCGGCAATGTTCTGCTCAGGTTTATTATCTTGCTGCGTAACTTCCTCTTTGGCTTTTTCGGGTTCCGAAGGCTTCGCGTCGAGTGGCGTCGTGGTGTTCGACGGCTCGTCTTGTTTGATCCCAGAGAGTTTCTGATTCTCGTCGGAAGAATTCTTATTCAACGTGCTTAAGATACCTACATTCTCTTGGCCTACATCGGCCAAGGATTCGTCGTCCGAGCTATCAGAGACGATCACACGCCGCTTCTTCCTCACGCGTACCTTTTTTGTCTCGGAAACTTCTTCTTTGTCCGAGCTACTGCTCTCGGATTCGGACTCGATGATTTTCTTGATCTTCTTCAGCTTCTTCGCTTGGAACACTTCTCCCAATCTCTGCATGAATTTGGCCTGTTCAACGAACTTCTTTCCTTCGCCGAACTCGAAAGATTTTCTGATCAACGCTTCGATCCATTCCTGCGTTACCTCCTCCTTCGGCTTAGATCCTTCCGGTTCTGCGTGATCCTTTTTCAGTTTCTCAGCAGTATCGGAAGCCTTGTCGGAGGTTTTGTCGGAGGTTTTGTCGGAGGTTTTGTCGGAGATTTTCTCAGAGGTCTTGTCAGAGGTTTTGTCGGAGGTTTTGTCGGAGGTTTTGTCGGAAGTTTTATCGGGGGAATTACCAGAGGTAGTAATGACGAGGTCCGGTTCATCCTCGCACGTTTCGGCCTTCTCTGCAACAGGCTCGATGTGGGGTGCTTCCTCTTTCTTCTCGGCGACGATACCACCGTCGCCGCTCCAATCTTCCCACATTATGTTACCGTCACTGCTACTGCTCACCTCGCCCGAGTTGTCGTCTTTGTCTTTTTTACCTTTGGCCTTACCTTCTCGCCTCTCGACAGAAGAATCAGTCATCTTGATCTCGTCAGCAATGTGACTAGACGTAGGTGACTCCAACGAATCGTTGCGCTTGATCTTCGGGATCTTGAAGTTTTGAAGGGAGCCTTGCGCGGACTTGGCCTTTGTGTCGATCACCCCGTAGAGACTTTCCAGAGGTGATTGCATCTTGTCCTTGATCAACTTCTCTTGGGATTTGGAATTGACTTCTGCGTCGGAACGACGATGACCATCGGACGGTTTAGAAGGCGACTTGTTCTTGTCCTTCGCTTTTTTGAACGATGATGAAAACGGTGGGGCCGTCGACCTTTTCCTAGGATCTCTGTCGTTAAAACCGACATCCTTATTCTTGTTAGGAGGGAAATGTTTATCTTTGGCTAACCGAGGATCTCGAACGGAGCTGCCGCTGTCTCTTGACTGATCGCTCGACTGATTCGGGCTTTGATTCATTGCTCCGTGTTCCACTCGAACTCTAGGATCTCGTTCGGATATGTTTCTATTATCCCTGGAAAACCTATTGCTATCCCATTCGCTGTGATTATCTCTGGACCACTCTGGTCTTCTTCCATCACGATTGAAATTAGTCCTCTGATCTGACCTGCCCCTTTCGTTGTAATAAGCGGCGCGACCTCTGCCTGAGCCACGGGCTCTGCTCCAAGGACAAGGAGTGCTGGGCCTGGAGTACGGCCCAGAAGCATCAGAGGGCCCCTTGACCACACACGGGCCCTCGTTATCGGGTCTGTAGGAAGAGTCGTTTGGCGGTCGGACAGATTGAGAATCCCACGGTTGCCTCGGATGTGGGTACTCTACCGGTCTTTCGAAGGGTTGTTCGTACTGCCTGTTCTCACCCTGGAAATTTCTGTACTGGGGACCAATAGGGAACATAGTGGGCGAGATCAAAGGCTGTATCGCCTGCACGTTGGGCACGTCTACGCTTGGCATGTCCTCGGGTCGGGGCACATGGTTCGGGCTCATCATAGGTCTAACATTCATGTTCGGTGCGAACTGATTGGGCCTCAATGGCCCCTCGTTGACCTGATGCGGATCCACGTGAATCGGTTCTCTGACCGATCCAACGTTCCACATCTCCTGATGCATCCCCATGGGGTGCTGATAACTTTGCGCGGGTGAACTCGGAATACCAGCAAAGTTGGAAGACGGGGGCCACTGATTGTTGCAAAAATCGTTTGGGTTCGGTGCATGCATCGGTGGTGGTGGTGGCGGTGGCAGCGGGGGAGGAGGAGGAGGTGGTGGTGGCACCCAGTGACCCTGACCCGACATCTGCCTGTTAAAATACTCCGGACCATCCATTCGAAACTCAGGGTCGATCCTAGGCTGCGGAATCTCCGGACCGATATTGCCTTGTCGTCTTTGGTACATCATGGGACCTCTCTCATCCAACTTGGTGTGATGCGGCAAAAGCAGGCCGTGTCCGTCCTCATCGGGCCTACAATGCGGATGCACGTTACCTTTGTCTTTATCGATAACACCGTGATTGTCACGCATCTGGCGAGGATGTCTTTCGTAGTTATCGGCATAGCGAGGCTCCGGTTTCGAAACGGGCGAAGACGGTGGACCTCTAACGTCGGTCGTCTTCTCCACGTTGTGCATCGAGCCGACCGAGGCTCCCTTGCAGCCACCGGTAGGAGGTATATTTGACAAACACTTCCTACTCGTCAACTTAACTATATGCTTATCTACCTCCTCCCAGCGTCTCTCACTCTCGCTGTCGATGTCCTCCTGCGTCAATAAGAAAAACTTGGATACCTTAGCGTCTTCACCCAACGCGATCGACTTCATGCTCGAATTCTTTCGCGAATTTACCTCATCTTTGGATCTCTCCCGGACAACCTTCTTGTCCGCCTTGTTGTCCGTCTCCTCGTTCAGCAATTCCGCTAAATCCTCCATCGACAACGGGGGTTTATTCGAGACTGGGGGTGGCGAGAGTAGCGGCGCCGGCGGTTTCGAGACCGGCCTCGCCTCCTTCTGCCGCGGAGACGTAATTTTCCGCTTTGGAAACAGGATATCTGGGTCGGGCGACTTCAACCTGGCGTCCGGCACGTTCACCGGTGAATCCGACCTCGTCTCCACCTGAATATCCAGGCCGTGCAAACGATTCTTCTCCAGCATCGACGTTAACCGCCTAGAGCCGCCCAAAGACGGGACCGGAATCGTCGGTATGTGCCGAGAAGTGTGCAACGATATCGAGGAAGCGTGGCTGTTTCTTCCGTCGTTCACTTTCTGCGGCAGCTGACTACCGACCATTTTAATCGTGGCGCTCACATCCTGACCGGAAGCGATCGAGGACGGCCAACTTTTGTTTCGCGTGTGCTGTGACTCGTTCTCCTCGAGCATGTCCCACTCGGAGAAGGAAACATCTTCGGCGATCTTGGTCGGTGGAGTCGAACCACACTCCAACAAATTCGAGGACAAGCCGAGATGATCGCTACTCGTCCGCTCGGTAGGTATGATGATCGGACTTTTTGTCGGCAACGTCTCGACCGGATCGGGACTGGCCGGTTTACTGTCATCGATAAAGTCCACACTGCGCTCGGTAGGAATTATTATCGGCGCTATTTGGGAACCGGAGTCGGGACTAACAGGAGGACTCGGGCTAGCTGGAGTCTCGTGGATCTCTTTTTCTTTCTTCTCGAGCGATTCCTTCGGCGGTTGTCCGGCATTCTCGCCGGATGAGCTGAAAATCAGGCAACCAAGTTTTACACAAAATTGAAGTTTCGTTCAACCATATTGGCGTCTCTTATCCTTATCTATTCCATTTATTCTCCGTATCCTTCGATGAAGGTACTACTAACTTGTCTGTGATACTTACGTTGTGGTCTGCACCGTGCCATTGCTATTTTTTTTGTTCGGAAAATGCAGTCCCGGAGTATTTCCCTGAAACTCGTATCAGATTAGAATGATTAAAATAACAAAATCATACATGCACTACGGAAGCCTGAAATCAACTAAAAATATGAACAATGCAAGTGTAAGAAGGGGCGTGAAGCGGCTACGTTTTTTTTTTACGATCAAATCAAATCAAACAGCACAGAAAGGAGAATTTGTTTTAATCTAGTGTGAATTCTAATTTAGAAGCAACTATTTACTTTTTTTGTGCTTTTATGTACATTGTAGACTGTTGCATGAACTTCTCAGTGGTCGCCCTTAGTATTGTGTAATCTAATCTCGTATCATCTACATTATCTCGCAATAGAGCCGATCAAGTGCAGTTTCAGAAATACAGTGTGCATTTTCTAGAAAGATGTGATCACAATACACGCCGAAGTGAAATTAAATATACGCGGCTCAAAACAATTAGGAGATACTTTACTTCCATTAACATAATCGCAAACAGTGATATTTTTGTAATTGTATAAACAAGTCGAAACCGTTGAAAAGTGAATTCCAAATTTGAACAGTATATAAATACGTATATATAATTATTTCGAACAGTGCAAGTACAAAGTGCAACTACCGCAACTGCGTCTACGAAGCACGTGTGGAAATCAATCGAGTTTCATGAAACGATATAAAAGAGCCGTTTTAAGGTGGCGTTATCAACGTTTCCATAGCTTTTCTTTTCGTTGTCAAGAAAAATTCAATTGGATCATAAGGGCCAAATATATTTCTCCACTGATGAATTAATTCTTAAAGCTTCTCGTTTATATCTTTCATTGGTGAGTAAAAAATACAAATCAATTCGAAGGACAGCGTGAGGCGAAATAATGTAAAGTGGACGCACGCACTGCCAACGAATTCGCCGAATTTCGTGAAAAATTAATTGTAGTTTAAACCAAAATGTTTCCTTCTACGACAATTTTCTGCATGAAGACAAAGTATTCGGTATATCGTTGGCAGTGCGATAGCGGTTCATATGGGATAGATACCTTTTCTACTTTGTTGTGCAACTTCTGTAGAACATCTTCGCATCGTTGCAACGTGTCGATCTTCAGCCTATTTCATTGAAGAGTCATTATTATTAATTGCTCTTCGTGCGATAATTTCAAGATATTTTTAATGTCTCAAAAAAAAATAAAAAATAAATAAATTCTGTTCATTTCAAATGCAATTGCAACTGCAATCGTAAATTGAAATACGAATTCAAATTCAAATGCAACATTACGTTGTCCGTTCGCGTATGACCAGTATCAACAGCAATGGCAGGGAAATAAGGAACTGATGGCGTTATACTTAAGGAGACATTGTTCGAAGATTCGCAAACGTACTTTCTCTTGCTGTTCGACAGAATTCCGTGAAGGCTTTGCATTTTCTGCAGCTGTACCTCCCGCGATTTGTCCTTTACGTTTTGCAACCTCTCTATCATTGCTTCCAAAAACGGAATATACTTTTGCATTTCAGCGAACTTCTTGTCGTACTCGTCCATCTTGTTTTTTGTGTGTCGTTCACCTGTGTCAGGAAAAGAAAATCTTTATATCTTTTCAATACCGATCTTTACATCGTTACACGTCCAATTACTCGCTGAATATGTATCAGCGAATGGCTCGTTTATTTCTACACATATTCATTAAATCAACATTCACGGAAAAATGCAAAGCAACCTTCATGGCGCACAAATTTATTGTTACGATCTCAAACAAAATGGCAGCCAGTAAGAACCAACGGACAAAGGTATAGACTTTAAGCCGCGAGGTAACGCTGGCGTAATAAGTATTCACAAATAAGCTAGTAACCGTTTCCAGTTCGTAGGAAATTCAAATAATCTTTGTTCCCTTTCCTATTAGCAATATTGAGACTTCTGGTTAAAATTCACATGATCACAAATGAACAAAAATCAAATCTGTCTGTACAACAAACTTAATACATCCATCACAGTTTGCGGAAAGCTGTACAAACTTATTTGGACCACCTATTCACATTAATGCCCTTGTCGCGATCGAATAATGATATTATGAAATGAATTCGCATGTATTGCCATTCGACTCTTTTTATCGACAACAATAAGGTAAAGGTGACCTTGAAATCACGGTCAACACTGTTCGAATAAAATTTCTTGAAACTCCAAATTATTTGGCTTTCTTTTATAGCACATTCTTGTATATATTAACCTGTTAACGAGGCAGGACAACAGAGTTCTTTTCCCTTGTGGATATCCATGTCGTTAATGAAAATGAATCTGCGACAACATTATCGTTGTTGCACAGGGTGCACGTTGCCACGATTGCTTTTATCGTTTTGATGAAATCTACACCAGTTTTCACGACACAAAAGTGACCCCAATTAGCAGGTTAATCTTTGCCCCGGCCGTTATTTATAGACGGTTTTTCCGTGTTAACCCATTCGTAGTCCACGTGTATCTTCTCGCAATCAATAACAGGAATGTAACGAACAGCGCGAGTTACGTTTGAGAACGCGTGTACATAAAGAGAATGAGTGCTCTCGTCGATTCATTCGAAATTCTTTTATTCTCGTACATCACGAATCTCATCCGTACACATATGTATATTTGACGACGGTAACAGAAAGAAAAGCTTTTTAATATGCTCACTCAAATCACTGCACTTGTCCACAGTTGCTCTTGCATCGTTGCACGACGAAAATGAAATCGTAGCAATTCAAGCCGTCGCAAAGGCACAGGAATTCAAAGAATCACTTTATACAACACTACCGATTAGTTGTTCCACCTCTTTCAGATTCCACCTTCGACCATTTCATTTAGCATCACCATCACATTTATCACTTTTCATCACAGTCACGAGTATACGAAAAATGAAAAAAAAAACAAAAAAACAATTAGCTCTTGCAACGAGCAATTTTCTGGAAATCACTTGTATCCAAGGCTGTATCTAGTTACAAACTGCTTGATTCCCTTTGTCCGGCAGATGTTCCGGTCGTTCTGACCTGCCTCTAGGGTACAGTCGTGGAAGAAAGTTTTCACCGTAATTATCTTTTGCCAAGAGTGAGAAGGATCTTTGAATGGCCATAAAGCCTCGAAATAATCTTTGTCCGCTTACGGTCGGTCTATTATTTCTTTCTACGCATGTTTTATATAGTCGATGCAGTTTGATCTATTCGTTCTCGCTTTATTCATTGAAAACCCGCCGCGCATAAAACGCCAATTTCAAAATACGAATTACGAAAATGCTGGTATAAATCACAAACAATTCAGCGGCATACTTTCGCATCACTATTAGATAATTACTAATTATTAAATAAAGTTAGGGCACAGTTGGAGGCATCAATTTCATCATTTAAAGTTTCGACTACGGAATTAACTACTTCAAAACTAACTACTTTAAGCGCCCAATCTTGGGGTTATTTCAGGCCTCAGATTTTTCATTTCTTTCTGTGATGATTATCAATTGTTTGTTCGTTTGTCTATCGAATCAACTTAGTATAATCGTTAACAGTTCATTTATTTCTTCATATTGTAATATATATATATTATAACTTCGTTATTTCTACATTATGTTATGCACACGAATGAATCCGTTTACTTCGAAGGCTTAGATACTTTAAGGTTAACCATGGTGGAGCACTGTTTCGCCTCCGCGTTTATATCACAACATGTTCCGCGACGCTACGATAAAGGACCATTATCGTTCGTTTACGAGAAGAGAGAAAGCAAGTATACTGCCATGAATAAATACCTTAGAATCTTTACTGAATATCCAAGGTACATTCGGGTAGCAACCGAATGTACGATCGTAGTCATTGACGATGCATGCCTGCCGTCAGAAGTTGACGCGCAACGATTCCACAGCCGCGATTCCCAATTGTCTGGATCGTTGGTACGCACAAAGTTTTCTATACTTCATCAGACCGTGTCTCGCGTTTGTTCGTTAGAAAATCGTCAAAACGGACCAGAGAAACATTCTCAGGAGATGTTTCTTTTGTCACGTTTCACTGAGCTTCCGAACACGCGTCTTTTACGCGATCCCGGCAGAAAGGAAGTAGATGGCGCTACTGTCGAGGAAACTCGAAATCATCGATAGATAGCGGTCCGGTAGTAAAGATGGCGTCTCGTTCTACCGCGTAATACCGAGCCATTAAATTTCACTCACCTGAATATTTCGAATAAGAATAACTCGCGTTCCGTACGAAATTCCATGATCGAATCTCGATCGACAGCATGTTACGATCAGTATCGATCGATAAATTGATTGCCGATCCCGATCCGACAATGTATCTCGTTGCATCGGTAACTTGATTCAACGTCCCGTAAGGTCATGCCGTCATACTCGAGAAAATGGCTGCTAATAGAGCCTCTAAAGCAGACTTCTGCTCGAATTCACATATTCAAAACGCTAATAATTCGAAATCGAACGGAGTCGAATAGCAATATAAACTGTCTCCGGTAATTAGAACCAATTAATTTCGTGGTTACTCCGCCTCAACTTTCGACCGTGGTGTTTTCGTAGAGATCTTAAGGGCATACGCAACTGCGTACAGTATCGGCAAATGCAAAATTCAATGATAAATTGACAAAGCGAACGACAACCGAGAGTAACCATTTCGAACATAAATACGCCGCGTACAGCACTGCTCGGAAGACTTAGCGCGCGTCATGCGCGATGTGCATGAAAAAACACACGAATGCTGGTAACGTACGTCGTACGTATGTACGTGGAAGCAATGGAACGTATGCCCCATTCGCGAGTCACCAAGTTTTTCCTTTCTCCCACACTGTTCGCTTCACTGTCTACATTTTCATTCGTCCGACCCTTCCTGCTTGACAAAGCTATAGATTTCTCGATAGAATATATATATATGCTATACCATTCTACAGAACTCTTTGAACCCTGTAATTCATTGTTCCTTGCACCAAAGGGTTTGACGCTCATAACGTACACAGTGATCGATTCGATACGTTGGTTATACATAGCATACCTGCCGCGACAAGGTATTTGCTTCTACGCGTAACGTTACAACGTGTCCAGGTTCCGTTGCACTCTCGACGATCGCGAAACTAATAAGCACATCAGCTGCCGTTCGCAAAAAGGTGTCCCACCCATCGAGTCCACTATACTCGTTAAAATAGACCTACGATCTTCCATTCCTTACCAGAGAATAGATTGTTCGCTCACGGCAGGACACCTGATAAAACATTACACAGCTGATAATCGCCGTTCGCATTGATCTTTTGGGTCCACGCTCGATCCTTGTGTCCCAAGAGTCAAAACCGAAGCCAGTATCAGAGTTAGAGGCCAGAGCCTGAGCCAGAGTCGAAGATGGATCCGGAGTCGGAATCGGAATCGGATCCGAGATCAAAGAACAATAGAGACGGAACCGATGGAACTATGCAAAATATTCCGGGAGCGGTGTCGCTGCACGGCTTACGTGCACGCACAGATAAACCGAATTGGTCTCTTTCTCTCTCGGCCCTCTCACGATGTCGCAGTTACGTTCGAACTGACACTTCCTTTTTCCCCCAAGGTCCGCAGCGCGCTCTATACAATTCCGCGACACGGGAGCCAGGCCAGACCCCTTGCGATGAATAATCGAGCATCAAAATCCCGATTCGATGGGTTAATTGTTTCAGCGAAACGTCACTTCTTACGACACACGCGCAAAGACGTCACTCGGCCGATCTCCTATGACCAGAAGATGTTTCTTTTTTTTTCAGGTGGTGATGTACTTTTTCATCGGCGGATCGTCGCGAATTGTCTGGCTACGATAGCCTTAATTAACGCGACACTCGACGACCGTGAGAATCGCAAACTAAAGGTATTCGGACGACAGTGTTTCCGTTTAATGTTTTTCGAATATCACGTTGCACAAACTCTTAAAATCTCGATACACTTCGAGATCTTATTTCTCGACGCTTTCAACGACCACCGTGTCCCTTAGTCCACAAGAATCTTGCACGGTATCATGTTGCTAATTCCCGAAAGTACATGCTTGTTCGTGCAACCGCAAGCATCGAAAGTCACGTAACTGTTTCCTCGGCGTATTACGGCCGAATATGTCGCCTCGAAAGAGTCCTGGATTACTCTTCAAGCATCGGCGGCTGAGATCTCGACAATGTACTCGGTAACAGGGCCGCTCTTGCCAGAAGAGAGCATACCTTTATTAATTACTATCGCACTACTTACGAGAAAACGAGTCGAATGGCAACCCTGAAGGGCGCACGGTACACAATGGCTGCCATTAATGGCGCTGGGTTAAATGATTTCGCAGGGATCTGCCAATAGGTACAATCCTAAGCCTGTGCCATATGCTACCTATCTTTTGTCACGTTCGCATATACTTTCTCTCGTTTTCTTTTCTTTACTTTATTTTGTCTCGACGTTGTGACAGGGATCGGTCGGGATTAAGATAGAAGTCAAGAAAAATGCTTCGTTTCTATGATGGTCTTACCCCGATTTCATCTCTCGTACTTGCCACGACACAGCATTAATCACATTTCGCAAATGGAGTGTTGTCGATAGACGACTTCACTTCCAAACAACTATTCTGGAACTCTGTAAATAAACGTAGAAACGCTGCGTCGATAATTTGATCGCGTTTCTTCGGCAGATATTAGTAATTGCGAACGAACGTTTGATTTTATCATCTAAATAACAAATGAAGAATCGGATACGTATGTAAATACTTAATATACGTTTATTACGAAAGAATACGTTTGATGGGATTCGCAGACGCAGAAATGCACATGGAACGAAATCGATTTCAGACCTGGTAATTATTCATATTCGATAGAGCGCCATAAAAACACTAATTAAACGTCTGAGAAACATTACTCTAACTCTATTCGATGAGACGAGTTCTTGATAGTGTCGCAGAGATTATATGAGACCCAAATCGTTAGACAACAGGAACAATGAACCACCTCGAACTATAAAGATCCGCCATTTGTAGAAGCTTCTGCGACTCACGCTCACGCAGCAGCATCCCATTCCCGACTCCCATGTTCCGTAATTCCACCGTTCACCGTTCGGGAACCATCGGGAGCTCTCGGAGCCGAATCACGAGACTCGACGAGAACAGCCGAAGTCAACACACTTTTTACGAATGTTCGTATGTACCTGTACTATCTGCGTAGTTAATTACAGAGTATAATGTACTACACAGAATAGACATGTAGGAAATGAAATGGCAACAAAACATAAAATTCTACAATGCGTATTACAGAAATAAAGTATAATTGATAAAAAGATGTATACTAAATGATATTTTTATAATCCTATTTGCTAGCTTTGTTTCGAAGTAGGTAACTATTTTACGAGATCAACGAAGCGTATGAAGACAAACATTAGAGACTATAAAGAAATAAAGATACGTTTTTACTTTTTCACCTGCACCCACGATTTTCAAATTAAACTACAATCGAATTTATAGAAACCAGTA